GTTTTCAAACGGTCGAAATGCAAGGAATGGCTATATTACACGTTTGGGTTGGGATCGATGCCTAATATAAGGGGATTAAACTAGGGCTGAGACTGAAATATATAAAAGGTTCAGCCCCCAAATTTCCAGGCCCAGTATAGAGTTTGGCCTGGCCTGGGATGGGCTGGGCACAAAACCTAGGCCTAGGGCCAGGAAGGATGGGCTCCAGCGTTTTTGCATTCTACCACACCTAATTTCTGTGCTTCTGTAACCAACTGTAAGCGAGTCAGATTTTCTTTTTTAAAATCTGGGAGACGGTTACCGTTTAGTGCATTGTACTAAACTATACATTTTAAAATCAATCAACGATGTTGATTGATGGTTGTGAAGACAAAAGAAGCCACTGTACATCAATTAAAAACTATACATTTAACTCGCATCAAAACTGCTTCCTCTGTGTTTTAAATTACATGTATATATATACCCAATACACTTCCCTCGTGTCAACTTGCAGGGTTTGCAATCCCTTCCGAAGTACGTATAACTAACTATGAACTATGAAGAATGACGTATTTCGCGTTAGATACGTATTACTCTTTACTCTTTCTTTAGACTGATGATAGTCACCGTAACATAGCACCTCTATCGTTCTGTTTTGCAGTTTAGAGACCTCATTTTCTCCAGCAGCGCCAACTTGCCCAACAACTCTTGTATGGTATTAGAAGCATCCTTCAAGGGGGAAAAAAGTCTTATGAGTTGCGTTCAAAGAATCTTAAACATTTGACAGCAAATGCAAGGGTGAACCTCTTCCTCACCTTCAATTTTTTCCTCAAATTCTCTTCTTCATTATCCCGTCTGTTCCTCTCTTCTGAGAATATATCGATCAAAGCCTCTTGTTCCTTGTTCATATCTTCAATCTTTTGCTCTGCCTTTTTAAGCTGTGTTCATAGAATCATTTGGAAATGATAACGGTTACATCAGAATCAGGATTTAGGAACAGCTTATAAAACAAATGGATTAAATGACTCCAAGGTATGGCCAAAACCCAAATGTGTATAAATAGAATATAGCATTTACCCAAAAAAAAAGCATGCCTGAGACTTACTTGATCTTCTAGGGATTTACATTTATCTCTTTCGAAATGTAAATCAGCCTCCAATTTCTTCAATCTACAAAGGAAGAAAAACGTGACAGACATTAAGCCATAAGGTAAGGACATCAAAGTGCTAGAAACAGTATTTGAATTTAACATGGTCAAAAAGAAAGAACGAAAAAAACGAGGAAAAGACCACCTATCCTTTTGTCTAGGATTCTCCTCGTGAAATTGATTCAAATCATTTTCATGGGAATTAGAATGCACATTTCCATTTCCACTGTAAGGAACATCAGCAACCTGCAAATCAAAATAACTATAAGAGAAAATTATCTAACAGAAAAAAACAGTTTTAGACAGAAATAGTGATGGCGCATTTTTGTTCTTTTCTGTTTTGTTGTACCATGAGTACAATTTGCACTGCAGAATATTTTATTATGGTTTCAAACACATGGGTACCATTGGGTGGCAGTGGCACATTACACAAAAGATGTACAAACGCCTCCCAATACAGCACCAAAGACCACATTAACTAGTAGCAGTTAACAAAAAATAGAACTTAATTAAATTAAATAACATAGAGAATTAATAGTTTAGTTCAAGAGACCAAGTTAGCTCCTAGGGCTTAGTTTGGAAGGAGTACAAATACAAATATTTAGAGTGCAAAACCTTATATTTTGTATGTATTTGTACTGTAAATATTTGTATTTGCACTCTTTCCAAACTGAGCCTAGGTAACAAATCATCATGCTTTATCACAACTATATGGGGTCAGCTACATGAATCCTGTTTCACAATTCTCTTCTATTTAATGCCATATCCTTCCTAGGTAACAAATCAAGATGTATCAGAATAAATATGTTCATTAACAAATAATAATATATCCCAAGTCTCACAATTAAGATATTTTACCTTTGGCTGTGAACATTTAGCAACTCGATCAGCATGTCCATTGGATGTATGATCTTGCTGAGTCTCACTATTACTGCCTTTCACAACTCTCTCAGGAGGGGCAGTTTGCATCTCACAGTCACCATCCTCGATAGAAGGCGACATTGGCTCTGGAGAACCTGATCGCTTTCTAAATTTTGTGCTCTTAATTCCATTTTCACCGTTTCCATGTATGTGTTCATTTCTATGCTTGGAGTCAGCCATCTTAAGAGATCTTTCAGCTTCTTTTCTCCCAACCACCTTCTCATTTGCATGTGAATACTTGTCTGAAAGTGGAGTTTTTCCACTGAGGAAGGAAGATTTCTTTGAATGTCGTGATGATTGAGGAGGATACTCAGGTGATGATTCTTTAAAATTAAATTTGGTCAGAGAATGCTAGAATATGAAATATCCAGAATCATAAAGACTACTAGGTATTGATCTAGATACCTCCATTTGCAGATTCATTCACAAGTTTCTTTTGACGCCGGGGAGCATAGCCAATTTTATGACAGTTGTTGCCCCTATAGGTCAAAGAGTGGGAATTAATTTATTTTTTTGGTACTTGGAGTGGGAATTAATTTATTAAACATAATACAAAGGATCCCAAAATAAAGAGATGAAAGACAACAAACCAGTAATTCTTTTGCATCTGCAATAATCGTGCCTCGAGTCTTGAAAGCACAATTGTACGTTCAAACCCTTGTTTATCATGAGCTGGTTCAACAAAATTAGCTTCCAGTACACCTGTGGTTCAATGAACTTGCATTAAAAATGAACTTGGTTCCAAACTAATTAGATTAATATCTGACAATACAAAAATGATACCTATAATTCCCCGACCATCACTTCCTGCAGCATTCCAGACCCTCCAGAATGGCTGAGAAAATTGTGCCTCAGGTAAGAATGGTTCAAATAGTTGCTAATTTATGAAATTTAAGTAACTTATTTTTTCCTTTCTGGAATCCAGGTATATATGATTTGGCTAAACAAGTAAACCTTGAGAGGCTAGTAGAGAATATGCCCAGAATACAGTTTAGAGGAGAAATATAAACCTATAGAGAAGTAAACAACAAAAGACAAGTATAAAGAGAGCATTAAGCTCTTGGATCAATCAACACCTAATGGATTATTGAGGGCATAGATAACACAAATAGTTTGAGTAGATTGAATAAAACATGATTCTGATAATATAGAAGCAAATGGGAGAATAAACCTTAATAAGTCGATTCTTGTGATAAACATTAAATCCTTGAACATCAATATGATCCTTTGCATCCTTCACAAACCCAATTGTGACAACAGCAACCATCTGAAATTCACACATAAGATGGAATCTAAAGCATTAATCATAATGAACTCAAAATGGCAGATTAATAAAGATAAATGCAAATCTGTCAAGTATTACATTTGATTCCCTTGAAACCCCATCAGCACCAGGTTGTGGTCTGTATGTGACCTCTTGTGTAAACATCATATCATCGACTAAGTTATGATGCTCAACATCTTTCTCACGCAGAATAATTCTGAAGCCATGTGGAAGTCTCAGGTAAAGAATTGATGCATAACTCTGAAAATATTGAAATAAAATAAAATCATTAAAACCCCCCAAAAAATAAATCCTTTAATCGAAGGCCCTGCGATGAATTTTAATTTCATGAAACAAAAACAAAATTTTGTGTTTTGTGAAAGTATTGGGGGACCTAAATAGAATAAATCAATAAAGTTAATATAATAGGCACTAATTACTTTCAGTAAAATTTAACCTTTACATAAAAATATACCAATACACCTCAAATGTGTGAACATGCATATACACAAGGGGTCAAAAGTATGTGTTAGCTCATCCAGGACCTCAATTTACCATAGAATCACTTCCTTGCAAGGGAGACCATCCAGATAATCATGAATAGCAGGTGCAGAAAAGTAGCTATAAACTCAAAACAAACCTTTGAGCTATGGTTGGTTTGATAGAAAATAAGAGAGAGACAGAAAATTTGGTGGAAAGTTCTTTACAAAATCTGTGCAATTCCTTAAAAACTTTCCCTCATATTTTCTATAGGCTCAATTTGGAAAGAGTACAAATACAAATATGTACAATACAAATACATATAAAATAATACAAAATACAAGGTTTTGCACCCTACATATTTGTATTTGTACTCTTTCCAAACTGAGCCATAAAATCAAAGACATTCTCAGGCAAGCCATTTTCCCTGAAATTTGTTGGGCTAGTATACTGAAATTTCTTCAGAAACAGACTACTCTACCTAGGTCAAATAGACTAGCCAAAGTTGACTGCCTAGCCAACATGCAGAGTGCAGACCTGGAATACTTTAACTTTGCATTCTTCTCAGGTCAGTCAGTAAGGCCAAAAGGGATGGGGCTGTAGTGGAAAAATAAACATCTCAGAAGTCATGACTGCCAACCCCAAATAGCTAGGATAAGCTTTGCTGAGTTGAGATTCTGTTAGAGAAAAAAAATAGCAACTATTTGAACTAAGACTACATTGTGATCATGGGATACTTGCCTAAAATAATGCTTACGATATGCAACTCCAGTAGATAAATGCTAAACAGTAGTAATCCTTTTCTTAAGAAACAAAAACAACAGTTGTAGAACTACTAAATTACTGTAAGAAAGATATGAATAATGAAACAGGTTAATCATGCCAAACTGAACTGTGCATAAACATTTAAAATAGAACATGAAATGAATTCTAATATTTCTACCAAAAATGGAAAAAAGTAATAAAAAAAAAGAAAGAAAGAAAGACCATAGGCAAACTAACAAGGGTACCCTTAATGAATTTCGATAAGTCAAAAAATGCTTAGAGTTGGGAAACTGCTTTGCCATCTGTATCTTCTTCTCATCTCGATTGACACCTCGAATTTGAATGTCCTGCCATTTCAACATAAAAAATTAAATGATAAATCGTATAGGCAGATATCTTTTCAGCCATACATCAGAGAAACATCAAGGAAATCATCAATTAACCTATCCTAAATTTGTTAAGGAAGAAGCAAGAAGGGTTGGTAAATGAAAAGTTATAGGAGACATACATGTGGGTCAGTGTCAAAATCCAGTTCCAATTCTCCATGATCATCCTCCCATAGATTATATATGATTATACGTGTGCCATGATCTTCCAAAGAGTTGAACTGCAAAAAGAAAAAAAAACAAAAAAGTAAAATAAAAATTATTAGATATTATGGCTATCAATAGATTGGATATACCTATATCTAAATTCAAAGCTATTAATATTCATATTTGATCATGTATGGGTGGATGCACAGATGGGGGTGAGTTGTGATGGGTTAATGGTGGAATGCAGCATGTGTTTTTTTAGGTCTATTCCTGAGGGTATCAATTGAAGAATTGAAGTTAACGACGGGCTATCAAAATTGAACAAATTTTCAAGAAACTTGTTGAAAGTGACAACGATGATTATGAGAAAAAAGATAAGTATGGACCTAAAAGAAATTCCGTTTATTGTTTTCTGGGAGGAGGTGAATTTGCAATAAAAGTGTTTTTAGAGTTGGAAGGTAAGAGTGCAGAAGAGGTTGGCAAGACAGTTGATTTTAGGCATAGGAACTAAAGAAGAGTGAGTATCCCACAGATTTTACCAAGCCATCAGCCAAGTAGTTACCCGGCCTTTGATAGGGGTTGGTGATCTTGTGATGTGGATGTGAGAACAATAGCTTGTATGTTTGGGTTTGACTTCAGGGTTGATGGTGCTAGGTTTTTATTTGGCCAAATGAAGTTGGTTAAGGCCTGAAGTCAGTAATACAAATACCTTTTTTCTTAAGTTATATTGCAAGAAATGTGGTTTGAGCAGATTCTGTCTCATAATTTCTTTTCTTTCTTTTTTGATGGTGTTCAGCATGTTTGATTGGGTTCACAGGGACGTTGATGCTGAAGCACAATTCGAGAAAATTTCACCCACAAAAACAAATTAAAGGTTCCATTGATGTGTCAATTTTTTAAATAGCATACTAAGAGATGCATGGAATTTCTTATTATGGGAGGGTTTTGTTTAGGAAATTTTCACCATTTTTCAAGGAAATTACAAACCATTCATGACTAACATGATATTGTTTCCATATCTTGGAACACCCCCAACTTTTAACATCCAGATTTTATTACAGTAGTAACAATTATTCCAAATGCAAATTTGAGTGAAGAAGAAATATATAGAAAGATGGGGTAACTAATTAACATTTTTGACATAATAGATCTATCTGTCTTTATATGAACATAGAAAACAATTATTTAAGGAAGAGGAACAGTGACCTGATGAAGTAAATCTGCTTCACTTGAATAAGGAGACCATTGTACAATGGTTTCTACATTTCTATTCCAATCACCCGGAGATAACCGTGTCATCTTGTTCCAATTTCTTCCCACGTTCTCATAGTCAAGCTTATCAATACAATGCAAACAATCATTATAAAAGAATAAGGTCATTATAGATTTCAAGAAAAAATAAGAAGAGTAAGGTAAGAAAAAGTATAAGTTTTCAACAAACTCAACATTGGGAAGCATGACCAAGAGACAGAGTTATCAGAAATTATGAATTTCACAGTCATTGAATTGGTTGTGCTAAAGGAATTGTGCTGTAACAGGTATACAGCTTATATGGTCTATATCTTCACATAAACATATTTTTAAAACCGACACCAGAGAATATACATGAAATCCTGATAGGAAAATGTTGAAGAAAAATGTATGGTAAAAATGCTTCAAAGTATCCTACCATGGGAACTACAATATCTTCCTTCCCAGTGCTCCTCAAAAATGTGTATGAAAGCATTCCAACGCTTTGTGTAGAACTAAGAGGCAAAGACCACATGATACAATTGGTATCAATAGAAAGGCAAGGAGATAAATTAAAAATCAAACATGGATATGATGTCTGTGCAAAATAAAGAAAAACAACTAAATGCAAGTTACCCGCATATTAGAATCAAAGAACTAGTGATCGACCTTGAAATAATTGAATAAAAAATAAAGGACATTTCTAGATGGTTATTGGACATTTCTAGATATTGTAAGCTTTCTGTACCTAGAAACTGATATAACATGTCGGGCACTACATGACTAGAAATGTGGAAGCATGACATAGGCAAGGACTGAAGGACATAACCACCATGGATGTCATAGGCAAGGACTGAAGGACATAATCAATCAACTACTAACTCCCCTAAAATTCCTTTTCCATGATAGTTCATTACTTATAAAATTGCAATAACCTGTCTTAAATATGACAAAACAACAATGGAGAAAAGGAATTAGATAATTTCACATAAAAATGAGAGTTAACTTAGCAAAGCAAAAGCCATACTACATTTGCCTTTCCACTGCAATCCAGTGAACTTTCCAATTACCCATGTACTTTAATTTTTTCCATAATTGTTAATAGCTTTATTAATATTTAAAAAGAATGGTATATACAGTGGTGTGCCAAGCACCTCTTCATTGGCCTAGGCCCCACTATCCGAGATAGGATTAGCTGAACACAATAGCTGTTCAGCAGGCTGTGGAACCAATAATAACTAGGGGTGAGCATGACATAGGCAAACCTAACCAAAAAACCATATATATATATATATATTGTATATATTTTTCATATATTTTATATTATATATAATATTATGAAAATCGAAAAACCAAAACAATGGTGAACCAAACCGGCGGTTAACTGAACCGGTCAACCAGTTAACCAATCGGCTTTGGTTCAGTTTCAGTTACTGATTTTCGAAAAACCAGTACTACCGGTTCAGTTGAAAAAAAAGGCCCACGGTTCGGTTAACCGAACCATGAACACCCCTAATAATAACACTCCACACCAGTCATAAAATACATGGGGCCCACAACCATTCAACCTCTCAGTGTGGGCCCCATGTATTTGGTCACTGCCATGAGACATTACCATTGGTTCCACAGCCTTCTACAAAGCTAAAGTGTTCAGCTAATCTGAATTCCCACTATCCATCATCTGATATTCTTTACAATTTTCCATTAGGGAATCAAACCCAGCACAACTTATTCCTAGTGGCTCTTTGTTTTGCTAGACCATCTGCCAAGCTATTGGCAGACCTTGGGACTACCAATCCAACAGATTCCCCAAGCTGCAGGAGTGTTCCTCTGTGTAGAAACTAACTCACCACCATATATAATTCTTGAAATGCAGGAGTGAGACATAAAAATAACAACAAGAAAAAGAAAAACTATACTAAGAAACAGTCCACACCTTTTCCCATCTTTTCCACAACAACGTGAGAACACAATAACATCTGCCCCCAGCCTCATGGTACTGGTCTTGAAACCATTTCCATCTGCAGAAGAAGCATAACAAAGAAAAAATAACATTGTAACAGTGAGAGATATCACTTAAAGTCCAAATATTAATATTATTTATTCATTTGTTGAAAGTATCTCTCCATAAAATGTAGAACTCAGTACTTACATTGCCCAATGGTATTAGCTGATTTGCTTTTTGCAGAATAACCTAGAGACATACATTGTCGCATTTTATCTGGATCCATTCCACCACCATTATCTGCAATAATGAAGCAAAACAAACATTTAACTTAACATATGGAAAAAATATACAAACATAAACAGAAATGCATGAGGCTCCCAGGTTAAGCTTTCTAAGAAGTATCACAACTAGTCCACACACTTGAGGGGCTTTTTGTACAACACTACGTCTTAGGCAAGGAAAAGGGCAAGGCAGGTTATTTCATTACTTATTGTCTGGATTCTTATTATATAAATATTCATGTTTTTAAACATTCTTTATGGCTCTGTTGAATAGAATTGATTATATTGTGTAAAGAATATCACTATTTAGGACTACAAGTGAGACTGGATTATGACTTTATAAGAAAATTCTGTTATTGGTTTTTCTTTTGGTTATGCTTTTACAAACAATAAAGAAATAGAAAATACATATGTGAAAACGGATAGGGCATTTGCCGTTAATGGTCCCAGATCTCTAGGGTGCTCGAAGGGTTCATTTGGATACAGACCTAACCTTTGACATGATGCATCTCTCTTTTTTTTGCAGTAATTGATAAACATAGTTTAATTCAAAGGTCATCATCATCCAAGCCTTATCCCAACTATATGGAGTTGGCTACATGAATCTGTTCCACCAATCTACTCTGTTTAATGCCATATCCATTGTTAAATTACCGACACTTAAATCATTTGTTACTACTTCTACCCATGTCCTTTTTGGTCTGTGCCCCTTACCCTTCTAGCCCCTTCAACTTGTAACAAATAATTTCTTATGAGTGTTGTTGATGGTCTTCCATGCATATGACCAAATCATCTTAGCCTACTTACATTTCATCACCATGTTGGAGCTAACTCCTAAATTCCTATAAATGACTTCATTCTTGTTGTACTTCATTATTTTTTTCTTAACAAATTCATTTTGAGTTGCTGATAAAAAAATATATATATGTGCTCATAGTATCAAAAACATAAAGGGACCTACAGCTGCACCATCCCAGGCCTAGAGCCACAATACAAGACTCTATGGTCTACCAGTCTACCCCACACTTCTGCAATAGAATCAGCAAGATCATTAGCCGATCCAGGCAAATATCTTGATGTGCTGTTCTTCCAAGCAGCCAAGAATCTCGCATTCCTGTCTGAGAACCCAAAGGCCATCTGAGTTGCCAACAACCATCCAACTACAAAGGTTTTTTTAAATGGAAACGGAATACAAAGGCTTTTCCTAAAATAAGAAAGTTTCCAGTGCCAATAGATCTAGCAATGCTCAAAAGAATATTTTTATTCTGGTACCCAAAGTGAAGTTTAACTGCTAGCTTTTGGAGCCATCCTAACTTGCATCACCAATTTTGAGAAATCCTAACTCTTTGAGAAAAAGAAGAAAGTAAAAACGCCTATTCATACCCTTTTCATCAGGCATCTTACTTGTAGGGGGCACTTCCATTGTTTACAGTACAGTAATTAATAAGAAGTGCTTAATGCCCCTTGTAAGTGAAAAGAAAATTGCATGGTGAAATACCAAAGAAAGAACACAGAGGTGAATGTTTCTTTCCTACTCTAAAATGGCCAAGCAGTGGCAAACAGGATCCATTAATAGCAAGGCAGTTGAGCACTGCCAATAATCAATAGTGCAGGATTTTTCAGCTCCAAAAAGTTATGCAACCTCTAGGTGCCACCAAAGGCCAGAGCAGGTTGGCTAGGCTGTTGATTACCATTTTTGTAGTTCAATACTTCAAATTGATGGTAACACTCAAGGAAAAAGAAAATCCTAAAATAAAATTAAAAAACTGAGCTCCATACCTTCAACCAGCAACATTCTGCTCCCATCCTTTTTATTCTTCAGCATATCTATGCTAACATATGTAGCACCATGGCATATCTGACATTAAAATAAGTTGCTTAAAAAAAGTACAGAAGTATGCAAAGCATGGTTTAGTTAGTATAAACACTGAAACAAATTTAAATAGAAGAAAGGAAGATAAATACCTCATCTAAAGAATTATCCAAAAGCTCTGCAAAAGCTGTTGAAGAAAAATAAAATGGAAAGTAGAATTAACTAGCATGACAAGTTATCTTGATAAGTCGATATTTGCAAATGAAGTGATGATAAATTAAGTGTGCAAAGATTACCTCCAAGAGCCCATTTGTGGCTTGTTGCATTTGAATGGAGAAACTTGGGATGTACCCTAACATGATCCATACCACCTGCAAACATAAAAGAAAGAAATTAAATATCAATTGAATAGATAAGTAATGACACACATAACAAACTATTGTGAAGCCACCAAACCATTCCCATTGTAACAAGATTCGAATAAAATAAATGATCCCAGCCCATGTGTATAGTATGTAATACCACACACAAAACAAAGGCATTGGTTGTTTTGTTCAACTTCTAAAAAAAACTGACTAGTGTATCCCAAGAAAGGTGCAAAAACATAGCCCTTCTACAGCACATTTCGGACTGTAGTTGGCCTGCAAGGATGTGGAGCACGAAGGCAAAAGTTAAAATGGCAAGCAATTGACATATATAAAGGAGAGAAGATGGCTAAAGACCAAAAAGGGAGACAAAGAAATATAGCTATTACAATCACATAATTTTTCCCTATTTAATTTGTAGAGCTCTTTGTTATGGTTTTTTTGAGCCTTAAATGTCCAATTATATTCCTTCTAATTATCTCTTGAAGGTTTATTAACTAATTTAATGTTTCTATAAAACTTTCCAGATATTTTACAATTTTCAAATATCTTAGCAAAATTAGCGAAATATCTCCAAAATTTCTCCACTCTACATGGCAGAATATATTCATTGATATCAATATTACAAACCATGGCCACCAGTTCAACTTTTTGGGTCAATAGGTCAATCTATGACATCATAAAAATAAAAAAAAAAAGTTTCAAAAATATAACAATATAAAACCCATGACTCAGTAAATGGATTGAACAGGCCAGCTTCAACCATCTGGGTCAACAGGTCACTAACCAAGTGAATGGTTTTCTGCAAATTAGTGGGTTATAGGTTAAGTGGACCCAAAGTCATGGCCAGGCCTCAGTCAAACTGGCCGGGTCAACAATGGGCAATTTCTTTTTCACCCTCTACTCAACAAATTAATTGAGAAAATTTTTTTTTATCAATAACACTTTCATTAAATCATCAGTAGAAAATTTACAGGAGGAAGACAAACACACTTATCTTCCAAGAGTCACTAAGAGCCTCATAAAAGAAAGACAAACACACTTAATTAAGAATTTTCATGTCATCTTCTTTAGCACAACTGTGTATACACGGCATTACCATGTCCATAATAAGAATATGTTCCTGTGATTAATGAGATAAACCAATTAACCAAATTAAACATTATTACCGATATTTCTATACTTACACTTTTGTTTTGTTCTACTTCTTACCCCTCACTTTTCCATGAAGATGATAACCAAATTAGAAGTCATGACTATAATCAAATTAAACTGATCATTTCATAATGATTAGTTAATGCACCCTCCTAGATAGACAATCATCGATTATTTGATTGTACTCCAATGATAACCCAATTCTGTTACTACCTCAATCATTGGCACTCAGCATTTTGCATGGCATTTGTATCAAGAACTTAGGAATTAGAGCATGTGAATATGATTTCCTTCGAAACAATGGCAGGTTCTAATTTTTTTTTTTGGTTCCTTTTGTACTGCAAAAACACATCAAGTGGAACAGAGTCGTTTTTTTCTCAATTTAATGGAGAGTAACGCTATTTATAAAAGATGATTTTGGATGGAATACATGGTTTTCGATTCACATAATTTCATGACTCAAAGGCAGCATTGTCTTGCTATTGTTTTACTCCAATATATTTTTTTATCAGCGTTTTACACCAATAAATTTGGGTGATTGAAGCAGAAAAACAAATGGCAAAGTATAAACGAAAAAGGGAAAGCTGCCATCGATTGCACCAACATCAAGTTACCAAATAACATGAAAAAAAAAACATAGAATGATAGAAGTATTTATGTTTAAACCTAAAAAAAAAAAAGAAACAAATCGGAAAAGAGAAACAATAAGCATACAAAAGTAATAAATAAAAACAAATAAAAAATAGGGGAAAAAAGATGTTCGAATTACCGAAAGAAGATGCCGTGTCACAGCCAGAAGCGCCCTCGTAATCTCCAGCCTTCCAAAATTGCTTGCAACTCGCAACCACAACCGCGGATTGAGATTTTGAAACTGGTTCAGACAGGGGCAAGGCTTCCTCCGGGGGTAAGGGATCAAGAAAGCCGAGAGGCAAAATGACTCCCATACCATCCAGCTTCTGCTTCTTGGATGAACTACCATCGACGCCATTCGAAGACCTAGATCTTTTACCAAACAAGGACTCGCCGTCAGAGTCACCGGAATCGGAATCGGAATCGGTGCTACTGAGTTCAATTAAATCATGTTTTGAAAGCGTGGGAGGCAGACTATTTTCCAGCGTTGTTTCTCCACTTTCAACAGTTTCTTTCTTAACAATGGAATCCATGGCGACCAAAAAGATTATCGAGTTTAGGGTTCCGATGGGAAGAACAGAACAGAGGATCTATCACGATATTCAAATAATGGAGATTCTTGTTATTATTATTACTATAAAAAGGAGTGCAGAAGCCGTTAGTTTTGGTGGTCTAGAGCGAAGAGGAAACGCAGAGGTTGGTTTCTATTTCCTATTTGGAGATAGACGAACGGCACGATAGGCCTTATATAGTATAAACGTCATACGAGGCGCGGTCATGATTTATGAATTACTTCTACTCTTCTAGTTCCAGTTGAAGACAAAATCCTAAGCGTACAAAAAAAAAATTCCTGTTCTCACAAGTCTCGTAAATCCGTCTCACACTAACCTAACGTGTCTTTATTACTCTTTTAATACTGCATGCGGGACCCACTTACCTTTGACGGTTTCTTTTTGGGTATTACAGTACAGCGCAGCGCACACGCTTGGTTCGGAGTCGGGACATTGTGATGCCGCCGTGCAAAGATAGTTGTTGTTAACGCTTAACGCCTTAACGGTGCATTTGTTATTATTATTTTATACACGAAGTAGTTAAATACTTAAATGTTTTTCTTGGTAACGCGTCTTCTTCATTTGTTCGCACTACTTGCATTCGGGCCTTGGATAATGAGATAATCATTAATTCGTTAACGTAGATTTAATAAATGGGAACAGAATTGTCTCGGTTAAACGTTGCAACGGTTACGAACCCGGATATCCTGAAACCATAAAGTCTGAACACACGGAATCCAGCCGCATACCGAGAATATCTCTCGTGCACGTATTTAAGTACATGGGAGATGTTCTTCATGTGCGATTGCGATGAAAAAAAAGGTATTATCTTCCCTTAAAAATTTAAAGAATTATTCACTCCCACGACACATGATTCATCGATTCTCTCTCAACTAACTGATCCACTTCACCCATCTATACATATAGTGACCCAGTACCACTCTAATGACTGTCCTACGTGGCGCCTATGGCATGGCCCAACACAGTGTTTACCTACCGACCTCACCCTAATACGCGGGCCCACTAATGGACACGTACAAGGGGTTGAGGCCGGATCTACTGTAGTAGATCCAATCAGCTTCCACCAGCTATTTACATGATTTGAATGTCGTGTTGAGCTATAGGAAACCATTTTCATCCGATTTTATGGATAGGCAATATATGTTATATTATCAAAAAATGTACACAGATATTCTCAATGCACAGCTGTAAAAATCTGTGGACAACGGTGTAAAGACGGTTCTCTGAGGACTGAATCTGAAACTCGCCTGCTATCATCCTCTTTGATTATATTTAAAACAACAATTAACCCTTTAACTCGTAAAATCGTCTGTATTTCTCCGCTTGGCCAAGCGGCTTGGGGGCTTCAATTTTGATTTGACCACCACCGATTCAGGCTCTTGGTTGTCGCCAGTCTTTGCACCTATTTTTCTATATGATCGTTGAACTACGGACTTAGGAGTTAGGAACCCACGTGTGCTGACTTGTTTCTATGTTTAACAAAACAGCGCATACATTGGTACCACTGTGCTTGTTACTTGGAATACTTCGCTTTAATTTTTTTTAAATACAAAAAAATTAAAAAGTTAATCACGTTACAATTCTTATATAATAAATTAATTTAAATATAACATATTGAATTTATTATATACATAAACTTATATATAATATAAAATATAAAATATAAAATATATTTTTATTTTATACATAATTATATAAAATTAATAAATATTAGGGAAAACTTCGTACTTTGGGCCTAATGCCATTTTAGTTTCCGAACTTTAAAATGCAACAATTCAGCACCCGAACTTTTAAAATATGATAATCCACTACCTGTTGTTAACTAGCTGTGAAGTGGCATTTGAAGAAAAAGACACAAATGCCTTTGGAGTGTCATCTAATTTTCTTTATCAACCATCCAAACTGTTATGGACACACCGCCCGGCAGCGCACTGTGGCGCAGTCATAGGCAACAACACGCACAGCTGGCCGCCCAGCAGCGCACAACACGCACCTCATGACAGCAACACTGTGAGACGTGCGCACCGCCGACAGCAGCAGTAGGGCATGACCCACATGACAGTTCATCAGGGTGGTCCCACACTTATCTTACCACATCAGCTCTGCCCGTCAACTCGCCGTTAGCTACACCATTCATCATCCCTTATCCTTATCTTTATCTTATCTTATCTTAAGTAAKAGTTGTGTTACCATTAGGAGTAGGTAATTAGGAGTTTGAGTTTAATTAGGAATTTACTTCTGTAATCTCCTATTTAAGGAGCTACGAGTTGAAATAAAGCATTCAGTTTTCCAGTCAAGAAAAGAGTGAGGAGAGTTTGGGTGGTCTCTTGGACAAATCACCCCCAAGGGAGAGTTCGGGTGGTCTCTTGGACAAATCACCCATTCAGTTTCCGTAATAGGGTCTGCACGCAAGGGAAGGTGCAAGGGAAAGCAGGGCTTTCTCCCTGTGGACCGACCCATGACGAGATCCTACGCGCGGGCCCATAACATTATGGTATCAGAGCCTATCGTCATGGGGGAATAGAAGCCGCTATCTTCTAGGGTCCACGAGCTAGAGCATAGGCTCGCCGAAAACCAGCCTGGAGGTTCGTGAGGTCAAGGATGATGTCTAGGAGCTGCGTCGCCTGCTGGAAGCGTTCCTCTCCAACAAAGAAAGAAGCTTTGAGGGAACTGCCACCACCAACAACCGCCGTCCAATCGGGGCGGAGACGTCCAGCGAACAGCAGACCGCTGCCCCAACAACCGTTGTTATTCCCAAGTATAGCCAGCTGGAATTTCCATCTTACAGCGGCATTGGAGACCCGTTAAGATGGCTGTATCGCTACGAACAGTTCTTCCGTAACCAGCGTACTAATGACAAGGATAAAGTCAGTCTGGCCGCCTTCCACCTATCAGAAGAGGCGCAGCCCTGGTTCTACAGACTGGAGCAAGAAGAACCCGGTCTCAGTTGGGGGTAGTTTAAATCATATTGTCTCCTTAGGTTCGGACCACCGTTGACAAGCAACCCGCTGGGCGAGTTAGTCAACCTCCAGCAAACTGGAACCGTGGTAGAATACCAACACCAGTTTCAAACCCTTCTCGCCAGAGCAACCTCGGTTCGTGCAGATCAGCAAGTCGACATATTCACCGCGGGGCTAGCAGAACCCCTAAGGGTGGACGTGGAGATGCAACACCCTCCCAACCTAGTCACAACCATGAACCTAGCACGCGCCTTCGAACGCAAACTATAGCTCAGCCACGGAACTGTCAGTATGGGGCGGCCTTCATCAGCATGGGCATCCCCAGAACCAGTTGGAGTGGCTCCATACTCAGCAGCCAGCCAACAACGGAAGCCACAGACAAGCACCAATCCCATATCGGCATCCAATGCAGGGAGTAGCGTCGTTACACCCCCCATTAAGCACTTGTTCAGGGCTGAGATGGCAGAACGCAGGGCAAGGGGGCAGTGTTTTAATTGCGATGAACTCTACTCAGCAGGGCACAAGTGCAAGAGACTTTTCTGCTTCCTAGTGAAACAAGAGGAAGATGAGGATGAACCCCCTCCATGGGAACCCGATCCAGGAGGGCAAAGCCATCCAGGATTCCCTTGAGGGTCCCACTCAAATGTGACCCCAACTTTCTTGAATGAAAAAAGGCAAGGATTTGAGACTCTTAAATTTTTGTCAATGTTTAGATGGTTGATAAAGAAAATTAAATAACACTTGCAAGGAATTTGTGTCTTTTTCAAATGCCACTTGATGGCTACTTAACAGCAAGTACTGGAATGTCATGTTTTGAAAGTTCGGGTATTGAATTGTCGCATTTTAAAGTTTGGGGACCAAAGTGGCACTAGGCCCAAAATACAGGGTACTAATTGGGAATTTTTTCTAAATATTATAATATAATGGGGTTTAGATTTTAATTAAATCAAATGGAGTCAAATCTGAATCCAATCCAATTATATAAATACATCATCCGTATATGAGATAATCAAATCCGATGTTAAATCAAGATGTGGAATTTTAAGTATAATTGACGGTCATACTTTCATTCTTGCTTTTGATAAGCTCATTGTCTAAATTTGGGAGTGCTTATTTGATAGATATTTTCAAAATGATGTGATGGGCCAAGATAGGCCAAAAAGGAAATTAGCGCTTATTAAATAAGACTTAAAATAAGTCCAATTTTTGGACTTTTCAAATAAGTGCTTGCTCTCAGAATAAGCATTTGTTTTTGGCTTATTTTCCATACACAAATAAGTGTTTATTTGAATAAGCACTAATGTTGAAGCACTCCCAAACTTAGCATAAATTTAAATTTTATTCTACCATTCTTCTGTTATACATTTCCCGAATTTACATGATTGTAAATCTTGATACGAGGACATACAATGGTTGAATTTCCACTGTTTCAGCTAGGGATACATACACCAACTGAATTTACTTTTTGTGCTTGAAAATAAATAAAAGCAAGAAATTAGAGAAAGGTGCATAAGAGAGTAGAGAAGAAGTGAGTTAAAAAGAGGAAAAAAAACGATATGCACCTTAATTTATCAAGGTCATTAGCATCCTTTAGTGGGACAATTGATCAAATTTGAGGTGAATATTCTCATTGTATCTTTTGTTCAAGTTCATGCTTTTATTTTTTTCACCCCAATCCAATCCTTCTGGGCCACTTTATTGTTTTTATAATGTTTTGGAGGGAATATTTAAAACAATGAATCTAAGGATCAAAATCTTAGAATATATATATATATATAGGTATCCAATTATTGTGATGCTTGAGGGTCTGAACTTTCAAATGAGACATTTTAGAACCTTTGAAAGGCTGTGTTTGGTTTGAAGGAAAAGATAGCCTTAAAGATGCACACTTAGGTTTAATTCCGTTAAACTGCTGTTACAGTGAGAGTGAAAATTTATAAAATGTGTTCACATTCTCCCTTTTTACTATCGGACACAATCAAGTGGCAACATAAAAGAAACGCCCATTCACGAAATAATAAAGCAGCTAAAGTCTGCAACCCAGCTGGTTTTCATGACCCGCTTGTATCGCTAAATGGTTAAAAATTTTTTTAATGGTGCTAAAAAGATTCAAGCTTGCATTGTCTTAATTATAGGCGTTAGCATTAAAATCCATCTTTTTCTTTATGCTTACTTTTGCCTCTTTTAA